TGATGTAATTGTTTTTTTTTTTTGTTTTGCTTTGTTTTTTTTAACGTACTGCCTTGCATTGTTTATAGTTGTTTCATGGTTCAAACTTTCTCTGATCAGGACAAGATGACATTGTCTGTATATGTCTTTATCAGATCACTGTGTCATCCCTAGTAATCTGATTCATAGCAGTTATTTATTGATTATTTACTGATCACCTTTCCAAGAGAAAGTGTTTTGATCCTCTTAACGTGTAGACGTTTTCTGTCATTCTTTTTCTTATCCAGTAATACTGCCTCGCCATTAATCATCTATTAACATAAGGTGATCACTTATGATAGATGATAACTTACTTACCTGAAGAGAATCAAAATATAAAACGTTTTTCTTTCCATCTATTTTTCTCTTTCTCGTTTTTAACCTGGCAGCTTTACAACAACCACTTAGTTTACCGGAAGGCGAAATTACCACGATTGAAATTCACCGATCTCATCCTTATATTCAGTTAGGAATGAGCATTGTGGGTGGCAATGAAACCCCGCTGATTAACATTGTCATCCAGGAAGTCTACCGGGACGGGATAATCGCCAGAGACGGGAGACTCCTTGCTGGAGACCAGATTCTTCAGGTATCAATTTTAATTATTTTGTGAACCTGCATCGCTTCGCTCTTATTCATAAATTTCAAGCTTAGAAAACTGACACTGTGGAGCCTGAAATCTACAAAGGTAAGTTTCACTGCTCTTACATGCACAACAGACCGGAATTTATCTGTAATTTTTCCTATTTCCCCGCACGCGTGGAACGTATTTTTTTTTTTTTTTCTCCCTACCTTAAATTCGATCCCGCGGTTGACTCCGTGCCTGTCCTCTGTGGGCCAGCTGGGTTCTTCCTGGCTCGGACTCCATGCTTGGCTATCTCAGGGCCACCCTCACTGCTGAAATTCTCTTGTCCCATTGGCTTTATCCCTAGTCCATTATACCGTCCATCAGTTACCTTCCTTGTCTGATTTATCCTTCTCTACGCTGATTACTGTGATCTAGAAAAGACAGACCGTGCGGCACTAGCTGCTTAGAATTTATACCGTGGACTCAAGATAGAATTCAGAAAGGGCGGTCTCTTGTTGGCTCCCAAATGCGCTCTCCTCAACAAACAGCCTGACTCCGCACTAGGCCTCGATGCTCGCTTCTCCGCTCTTCTCTTTGAGGAGAAATAGCTACTCCCGCAGAAGATCTGGCTTGGGACGAGACGTTCTTGTAGTAGAGGGTTTGTTGACACTGAGGGTGTGGAGATGGTCAGAATCCTACTGCACAGGACTGGAGTTTCTGTGAACATTGGCCTGGATATATGACCCATACAAGTGTCCATGACACTTGAAGCTAAAAGAATGGATATATAGGAGAGAGAAGAAGTAGTCATGAATGAGAAAAGGTGCCTCTTGGGAACCCAAGCTCAAGGACTTTTGCCTCCTCAGTGTCACCGTTCAGTCCTTCACCGTGGTCTGTGGGTCTCCACCCCTCACTTCCATTTTCCCTGCCACCTCTCCGGTCTGTCCCCTCAGTGCTTCTCATCTACTCTAGTGGAATCAACACCCCGGCCTCCCCACTGTCTGCTCTGAAATCTGGCACGACCCCAGACCTCTTTTTACTTTAAGCGCTGACATTTCCTTGCTTTTCTCTTCACCGCTTAACACATAACCAATCACAGAAAATTATTTCAGTGTACTGTCTTTCTCTGGTGACTGCAGCCACCTTGATTGTACACATGGTACAGATCTGTGGATATGTACCCATAATGCTGTGCATGTAATAAGGGCCCAGGAGGGGCGCCTGGGTGGCTTAGTCAGTTTTGCATCCGGCTTCGGCTCAGGTCATGATCTCACAGTTTGTGAGTTCGAGCCCCGTGTCGGGCTCTGTGCCGACAGCTCAGATCCTGGAGCCTGTTTCAGATTCTGTGTCTCCCTCTCTCTCTGCTCCTCCCCTGCTCGTGCGCGCGCTCTCTCTCTCTCTCTCTCTCTCTCTCTCAAAAATAAATAAACATTAAAAATATATATATATAAATAAAAAATAAAATAAAAAATAAGTGCCCAGGAAATGCTTGCTGAATCAATAAAAGTGTGGATTTAGATATAATATCCTATCAGGAATAGCTGTCTGCTTTATTAAAGCAAAACTTAGAAAGGCTAGGATTTTTAGCTCTTGAAAAGAAACGTCCAGATGGGGAAAAAGACAAAATGGGCTCCCAGAGCAGCGAGGATTAACCTTTCCTGGGGGTTCCTGGCTTCGGTTTCCACTCCCGTCTGGATGCTGCGTCTTACAATATATCATTGACACTTTACCAGTCGGGCCCCACACCCCCCCTTCTTTGCCGTTCGCCTGGCTGACACAGACTGAACTTCTCGCGTTTTGTTTTTTACCAAATCCTAAGAGGGAATAGGAGAATACAGGAAGCATAACTAATCCAGCTTATGTAAAATCCATTTTCTGATCCTGCCATAGCCAGCTACTTACTGTCTTACTGTATTTGCTGTCATTTTATGATGTCAGTGCTCTGGTGGCATGAGGTTGGCACAGCTCTGTGGACACCTTACCTGCCTTCCTTCCTTCCCAGCTCCTGGTCCGCTGCTCCACGGAGGAAATCTTGTGGCCGATTCCCCAGGTGCATCGCCCCTGGCATTCTGATACCTTGGCGGTCAAGACCAGGAGAGCCAGACTGCCCTTTCCTGCAGCTTACATAGTGTTCTTTCTTTTTCCCCTCTTCTGGCCTTTCTAGCTATAATTAAGTGTACATGTATTTTTGTATGTTGTTCTTTGCTGCCAGCAATGTGCCGGTATTAACCTTTTTATACATTTCTCATCCTTTCTCTATATTTTAAAGGTAAAAACAAATGCTTTGTTCGTATTTGCATTTCTTGGAATGTAATTGAGGTTAAATAGCTTTCAGGTTTTGCTCGCTAATATATTTCATCTGTAAGGCTTTTTACCGTTCTGCTCTGGAGATTCGTTTAATAACACAACCGAGTCTGTATACCTCCAATAACAATCTAATTCTCTGAAATTATTGGCTGTAATTTTGGGAAGTAACTCAAGGCTGTAAATCCACATTGTAGACATTCCAGTGCGTTATTGTTGTTTATGGAGGCATACGTACCAACAACTCTAATAATGGCAATCTTAAATCCAGTTTAGTGATTTCAAATTGATACACGTATGTAAGTGATGAAGCACGGGAATCTTCCCCCAAAACCAAGAGCACACTGTATGCGCTGTATGTTAGCCAATTTGACAATAAATTATATTTAAAAGAAAGAAAGGAAAGAAAGAAAGAAGAAAGAGAGAGAGAAAGAGAAAGAAAGAAAGAAAGAAAGAAAGAAAGAAAGAAAGAAAGAAAGAAAGAAAGAAAGAAAAGAAAAGAAATGAAAAGCATGAGCAAATAACCTGATTAGTGAATTCACAAAGAGTCTCTTCTGCTGTGGGCCCTGACTTCTCATTGGCCTTTAACTGGCTTGTCATACTCACTGAGTAAAACCACACCCCTGCCCAAATATGGAGAAGTATTTATGATCGTTCAAAAGTGAACACTTGGAAAGAAGGCTACTTGGTATTTTTTTTACTACCTGGTCGTCTTACACTTTGTACAAGCTGCATAAATAGTACAGTATGAGCCAATTTGAAAATACCTTAGAATCGATACAATGGTCTGTTTCCAGACCAAAGAGCTAGCTGGCCTACGCTTTTAGTTCCGCAAACCATATGCAGTAACAGTGTGTGGCTTTGGTTTTCCCGCACACGCGTGCACACGCACACACACACACACACACACACACACACACATACACACACGTTATTCTCTTAAATAGCTTCTTTGAAAAGGAGAACCATATACCTTTAGGGCCATTTGCTGTGCAGAATTTTGAGCAGTTTGGAGAAAAAATACTGTTATAAATGATATCAATATCACTATTAAAAATAATATATATTTTAGAACATTATTAAGAGTAGGTGTTTTCAGTATGATCTGAATTGTCAGCAATTTATTCACTTCTGGTTTTGAAGAAAAATGATTATAGTCGTGTGTTGACCACATTGTTACAAACTACATTTGACTAGCAAATCACTTCAGGCTGGCTTTTTAGAAGCTGCCTTGAAGTTCTGTTCTTGACCCTCTATTATTCAACCTTTTAATCAAGGCTTTGCATGGCTACCAAATGCACAAATGTTGCAAACTTGGGAGAATAGCAAGTCTGTGTGACATGTACGATCTTTAATGCCTGCATTTTAAAAGGTATCAGTAGGCCCAAATCAACAAAATTCAAGTTACTAGTGCTCAAAACTGTAAACCCTAGGTGGATAGGAGGGGGGAGGGCCTTTTGTGACATAGATTCACGTGGAAAAGATTGAAGGGTTTGGGTGATCACAAACACCTAACCCGGAGCCTGCCACGTGACCGAGGCTCATAGGTGTTGATTTCCCCCTCGTGGTTGTTTCAGACAGATGAAGAGAGGAATTCTGACTGTGATAAGTGTCAAGAATGGTGCCAACCCCTTCCTCTGACAATATTCTGGTGAATAATTGAAGCTGAGTATATTTTCTCTGTAAGGCTACATGTCCAATGATTCACTATCCTCATTTCAAGATTAAAGTTTAATAAATGTTCTGTGAGTACTGAGTTATGCTTGTTGTATTAGATGTTACACTTGTGGGCTAAGCTAAAGACTTAGAGTGAAACTATAATTGACCTGCTCTTCCTTAAAATAGAAATCACTGGGGCCCCTGGGTGGCTCAGTCGGTTGAGCGTCCAACTCCAGCTCAGGTCATGATCTCACAGCTTGTGAGTTCGAGCCCTGCGTCGGGCTCTGTGCTGACAGCTCGGAGCCTGGAGCCTGCTTCGGATTCCGTGTCTCCCTCTCTCTCTGCCCCTCCCTCTCTGCCCCTCCCCTGCTCATGCTCTGTCTCTCTCTGTCTCTAAATAAACATTAGGAAAAAAATTTTTTTAAAAAGAGGAGGGGGGCGCCTGGGTGGTTCAGTCAGTTGAGCTTCCGACTTTGGCTCAGGTCATGGTCTCGCGGTTTGTGAGTTCGAGCCCCGCGTCGGGCTCTGTGCTGATGGCTCAGAGCCTGGAGCCTGCTTCCAGTTCTGTGTCTCCCTCTCTCTCTGCCCTCCCACACTAATGCTCTTTCTCTCTCAAAAATAAATAAAAAGCTTTTAAAAAAATAAGATAGAAATCACTGATCTGGAATAGGATTGTGACCCTGGAATGTGTCACTTTCCTTAAAATAACGCTCGGTTTCGTTTTTGTAGCTTACGTGTGTTTCATTTGGAAAAGCAAATTCAATCCAGTAAAACTTCAATTTCTGTCCCATTAGAGCTAGTATTATTTCATTAGCACTTGCCTTATGCTGCTGCTGTCTGCACATTGCCCTCCTGATCTCTGAAGTGTGAAGGAGATAGTGAGCACATCTCACTGGAGAGGAAACACACTCACAGAAGTTCTGTAATTTGCCTGGTGACATTCGGCTTGTACATGACAGGACCAAGGACTCTAATTCAAGACTGTCATTGAAGCCCGTGTTCCCAACTACTCTTCTCTACTTGGTGCTAGTCATTGTAAGTTAAGTTTAGGAACTGTGTATATTTTTTTAATGTTTATGTATTTTTGAGAGAGGGGGAGACAGAGAATCCCAAGCAGGCTCCAGGCTATCAGCACAGAGCCCGACGAGGGGCTGGCACTCACACACCGTGAGATCGTGACCTGAGCCAATCAAGAGTCGGACGCTTACCTGACTGAGCCACCCACACGCCCCAGGAACTGTATTTTAAAACATCTTGGGGGTGCCTTTCTTTGTGAACAGTGACTGTATATCATTTTCACAATGTTAGTTTCTTTGGGAAGCAGTATGTGAACATTCCTACAAGTTGAGAAAAGATCGTCACGCTTTGGTCCCAATTCTTTCTTCCAGGTCAACAACTGTAACATCAGCAATGTATCCCACAACTATGCCAGAGCCGTCCTCTCCCAGCCCTGCAGCACCCTGCAACTCACCGTGCTGCGAGAGAGGCGCTTCGGGAACCGAACACACAGCCACTCCGACGGTAGCTCTCCGCGGGAAGAGGTCTTCCCCGTGGTCCTTCACAAACGGGACTCTGGTGAGCAGCTCGGCATTAAACTCGTACGAAGGACGGATGAGCCAGGCGTGTTTATTCTTGACCTGTTGGAGGGGGGGCTGGCCGCGCAGGACGGAAGGCTGAGCAGCAGCGACCGAGTGCTTGCCATCAACGGACATGACCTGAAGCACGGGACCCCCGAGCTTGCCGCCCAGATCATTCAGGTACACGCCGGACGGTCATCCCGGTTGTTGGGCCCTGATTACCTTATGTCAGTGTTTGTTTTCATAGCATGAGAATCCAGGGGATATTTGATGCTTCATGGGGAAATCAAGCACGGCTCCCTAAATCCTTCAAAATGTAAAACGCACACTAGTTTAACTTCCTTACCGATAGAGTCCTTGCTAGAAAACTGTATCCCTGCGAACATGTAGCCTGGCTCTTTATAGAGTGAAGGCTCTACAGTTTCACATGGGTTTCTCATTTGCTCCCTGATCTCCCCCCAGTCCCAGACAACAGATGAACGTGTCCACATTTAACAGGTGAGAAAAGTAAAGCTGGAAGGAGCTGTGATTCCAAATGTGACTTACACGCTCTCCTCACCCCCCCCTCTGTGCTTCAGGCTCCATACAAATGGGGGGAAAATACTTTTTTTATTAAGAGTAACTCTAATCCAGGGGCGTCGGGGTGGCTCAGTCAGTTAAGCATCCGATTTTGGCTCAGGTCGTAATCTCAGGGTAATCTCTGTGCTGACAGCTCGGAGCCTGGAGCCTGCTTCAGATTCTGTGTCCCCCTCTCTCTCAGCCCCTCCTCGCCTCCCTCCCCCCCCCGCCTCAAAAATAAATAAACATTAAAAAAAAAAAAAAGAATAACTCATCTCTATAGTGCCCTTTTTTAAAGGAATTCAAAGCATTTCAAACACATCATCACTTGTGTTCTCACAGTATCTCTGTGAAGTAAATAAAGATAGTTATTATTAGAGAAAAAACACATTTTCAATAAGAGCATTAAGACATATAAAGTAGAAAGTCATCCAGAGGAGCAGATCTTCCGGTTCTACAAGCTGCCATGGCATCTGACGATGTGGGTCTCCCCTGCAGCGATAAGGGTGACACAAAAATGTGTTGTTGTTATTTATTTTTTTTAAGTGAGCACCAGAAAACCCTCTTAGATACAGGAAGCCAAGCATTAAATATGATCGGGCATCAGGAATTAAAGCGGGTTGATAGTCACTGAGAAATGCGTACAGTACACAGAAGCAAGTAACAATGACAATTTAAGCTCCTGGGTAAGAACACCCAAGTTTCAATCCCATATAATTTACTCCTTTTCACAAATGTTTGGTTCAGTGTCACGTCAAGAACACACACGCACAGGAACCAAAATACTGCAGTAGGAGGGAGATTTGGGAATGGGTCTTCCGTCACAGACTTGAAGTTTAAACAAATTGGATCCCTTAAAATGTCATCCAATCAGAGGCAGCAGTGGTACCTTCCCCTGTGGGTGCCATCCAGCTGGTGCACCGGTGAGCACGAGTTGTCTGGGGGGGCAGAGGAGGGACTGCTGGCAGGGAGAGGGGAGAAGAAGAAGAAGGTTCACACACTCATGGGGCTTGTTAAAGGAAACAGGAGAATCGCGTGGGCTTTTATGAAGTGAGAAGTCAGGTCCATAAGATGGAAGGAGCTGGGTCGACTGTATATTTCAGGCAAATATCCTAATGCCTAAGTAGGTGGGCCTCATGAAATTTCTAACCAAAACGTGAGAAAAATAGGTGCACGGGTAGAAAATACATTTGAAATTTTTCCTGGTAACATATGATATCTGGAGTTTTATAATCCACATAGATAGTTGTGTCGTATTTTGCGCCATAATTCTCCTCAAACCGTAGAAAACTGAAGTTGCTCAAGTTGTTTCTTTATGAAAAACTGATAAATCTTACTGTTTTCGATTATGAAAATAGCATGTGCTCCATGTCTAAGAAGGAGACTAATGAAGACAAAATACAGAAAATAAAGAAGGAAGTTAAAATCACATTCAATCCGAAGACCCCAAGATAGCAACATTAATATTTTAGAGAAGATCATTCCAAACATTTTTATGTATGCGTCCACGGATCAATAGGGACATTTTACATAGATACTTAACCTGTGTGCTCATCTTGCAAATTCTGAGTTTGCCACCCTTGATGTCCACAGTAGGTTGTAGACTTCTTACCCTGAAAATAGACTCATCATCACATAGCTGTGTAGTAGGCATGTCATACTAAAACGTATTTAATCATTCCCGTTGAAAGACTTTGACTTTTTTTGTTTTCAAGTTTAAGAGATTTTGCTAAACTTCCGCAATACATACTCCTAGCCACAAGGCATGCCACTAATTTGTGAATTATAGGTATTGTCATTTTGAGATCCTGCATTTTTAAAAATCTTGACTTTAGGGGCGCCTGGGTGGCGCAGTCGGTTAAGCGTCCGACTTCAGCCAGGTCACGATCTCGCGGTCCGTGAGTTCGAGCCCCGCGTCAGGCTCTGGGCTGATGGCTCAGAGCCTGGAGCCTGTTTCCGATTCTGTGTCTCCCTCTTTCTCTGCCCCTCCCCCGTTCATGCTCTGTTTCTCTCTGTCCCAAAAATAAATAAACGTTGAAAAAAAAAATTTTTTTTTAAATAAAAAAAAAAAAAAATCTTGACTTTAACAGAATTCTTTTGCTGTGTTTGAAACCCTGAGGTATTAGGTGTGCAGTCTATTTAAAACTAGCCTAAACCTAGATGTTGGTCCATCGTTTAAAGCCTGTATGTCCATTTCCATCACAAGCCCAGAACTTTGTCTTTCAAGCAATCAAGAAAGATCAAGGATTTGTTTCTGTTAGTGGGTTTGCATTTTCCAGTAAAGGTGAAATACCGATTGTGTTCGGTGGTTGCAAGTGTTACACAGTAAAGAAAACAATTCTGTACATTGAAATGAAATCACAAAGGGGCTTTCACTCGTCACACCTGAAGTGTCAGAATCTTAAATATCAGGATTCTAAACATTCTACTTTGGCATTTATCCTTTAGATCAAGCCCCCAGACTCTGGCCCCCTGTGAAGTGTTGTTCTTTCGGTTCTTTTGAAGAACTCCTCTGAAACTATGTAGTTTACTGAGATGCTTGAATAAGCAAATGATTTGTAGTAGGGCCTTAAAATTGGTTATCACTCACTTTCCCAATTTAGTAACTGAAAATGGAGTGACTTGTTAACATTGCTGACTATAATGATGGGGGAGGGCCCTGCTTTCCACCGCAGCCCCTTGAAAGCAGGCTGTCAGATTTCCCCATGGGAATAATAGTGAACTTGGGAACTTGTGGTCATGACCAAGAATCAGCATCACATAGCTCAGGCCTGTACATTTAAAAGCAAAGATAACATTAGCTTTAACAAATACAATAGATGTGAATCTGTGTTTGAAATATACATATATAAATATAAATAATGGACCTCTAAATTCAAGGTGATAGTCATGAACCTCTAAAGTAATTGAATGTAACATTTAAATGTATGTGTGTGTGTGTATGTGTGTGACATATATATCTGTGTGGCATATCTGTGTGACACAGTATACGATGTATATAAATACTATAAATACTATGAATAATACAGTATACAGTGTATGTAAATACTAATCTTGTTTTACAGGACCTTTGTTATTCTTTTCAGAACTGTTTGAGCTGATGTCCTATTTTTGACTCAAATCTGTAGCAAGCAGAGACAAAGCTGTGCATAGTTCCATTGGTTATTACTCTCAAAGTAGCCACCCTGGAATTTATTTCAAAAGTCACCTGCCTTCTGATTCAGTTTTGAATCAGCTCTTACTTTTCTTTTCTTTTCTTTCCTTTGCGCTCTCCCTCTCAATGCCAAGGCCAATCTTGAAGGGGTTACCCTCCAAGAAATCATGGGGAGATCAGAACATGGGCAGCTTGACTGCTTTGCCTTGCTTATTTCCTTGGTATTTCCAGGGTCGGGGAGGCCCTGCCCAAGAGGTCTGCATGTGGGTGTTTTAACTGCAGAAGGCTTAAAATACTGGTTCCTGAGATGAATTCCCTTCCTCCCCACCAGCAGGTGCCTGCCGTCACCACTCAGGCGAGGCTCCGGCACAGTGATGATGAGTGTATTGAAAATGACACTGCTTGGGGCGCCTGGGTGGCGCAGTCGGTTAAGCGTCCGACTTCAGCCAGGTCACGATCTCACGGTCTGTGAGTTCGAGCCCCGCGTCGGGCTCTGGGCTGATGGCTCGGAGCCTGGAGCCTGTTTCCGATTCTGTGTCTCCCTCTCTCTCTGCCCCTCCCCTGTTCATGCTCTGTCTCTCTCTGTCCCAAAAATAAATAAACGTTGAAAAAAAAAAAATTTAAGAAAATGACACTGCCTTCAGTTTTTTAAATGAGAAGCATCATTAATGACTGGTGGTTGTGTATGTGTGTTTTCTCCAGGCTAGTGGAGAGAGGGTGGATTTAACAATTGCTAGACCAGGGAAATCCCAGCCTGGTAATCCTGTCCGAGACGCAGGAGCTCAGAGTAGCAGCCAGCATCATGCACAGCCGCTGTACCACAACAGACCCAGCTCACATAAGGTGAGGCGTTGTGTTTGTGTGTTTTCATTCACCTCCCCTCAGAGATCATGGTTGCCATCTGGTAAGCTCTAAATGAGGGCTGTTATTCTGTTGGGAACGGCGAATACAGATGTTTGGGATGTGAAATGTGTGTTTGGCTACCTTGAGAGTCACTCTGTACTCTGAGTTCCTCAGCCAGTAGGGATGGTTTGTTAGTAAGAAGGTCCTTCTGCCAGGTGACTGATGAAAAGTGTTTGATCTTCTAGAAAAACCTGTATTTGTTTGGTCCTGCTTGAAAGTGGGACTCGTCTTGGTTTGCTCATTTAAATGTAACAGTCGGTTATGTGATTGAAAAAGCATAATGAAGACAATGATTGACAAGTCTATACTTAGCCATTGGGCAGGTTGTCTACAACAGAATTGGGTATGTGAATATTAAACGTAAATCGTACATTCTGATAGCCACGTGCATAGTACATTTCTTTTTATGTTATAGCTTATAGGAATACTTCCCTAAATCATTTTAAATTCCCATATGTTGAGCTTTTTGCTTCTTCTTTAATATTTCACTGGATTTATAATACTCCTAGGTCATTTATCTGTGCTGAAGAATTTGGAGACTGTCCCACCTTAGTTGTAGGCATAAAACAGTGGTACTTTACCGCATTCTCAGTTTTATTTACCTCGTTTGATCTTTCATTTGAACCCAACTTCCAGTAGGCCAGGATTTTTAAAACAATGATGTTTTGCAACTGTGCGAAATAGCATATAGGAAACTTCCTATAGTTTTTAAGCAGACCCATAAGTAAGTTTTTATTTAGCGAAGCAGTTTAACTTTACTTAAGGCGAGTGACCTTGGAAGCTCAGAGTTAGCTTAAAGTGGCTTCTTAATGTAAGTACAACTTGAGAGAGTACCTCTGGAATGTCACAGGTGCCCCAAGAAAGCATCGCTTAAAGGCACGAGTATTTTTGGCCCATCAGGTTTATCTGGTTCTCTGAGCCGAAGTACAGACTTGTCCCTGGTCTTTGGTTCAGTTAATACCTATAAGAAATTATAACCACAGACTTGTTCTCATTTCTGAACAGAAAATGAAATGTGTGCAGGAAACCTACAGTTTTGTTTTCACAATGATGGCTATGAAAAGGAGTCACTGTTTCAAATAGGAATTTGAAAAGGAAGTGTTCATATAGCCGATGCTTGCTTTACAAATTATATATATATTTTTTTCCCCTCTTAACTCTACTAATTCTTATTCTTTAATTTTATGTGGCTGTGTTTTTCATAGTAATGCTGAATTAGTTCTTATTCTAGGTCCTCCACAAACCTGATTGGTGGGAACAACCACATGAAATATACTTTTAAGCATCAATTTAACAATTTACTACTAATGCACAGCATTTGTGATGTCAAATCCTGATTTAGAAAAATAAAGGTGTCCTAGGGACACAAACGGAAATTCACCAGAACAACCTGTTCAGAGAATAATTGTTGTGAAAAATTAAAGTGCACACTAGTCCACATAGCTGCTTGAATAAACATTCATGTGGTGCCAAGCCCTTCGAAGTTTCATGAAGCATACCAATATAATCTGGGAAGTTTGCCTAAAATGCATACATCTCAGCCACATAGAGGAATAAAACAACCACCTTTAATTGGTTAAATATCTGACGGCCGGAACTTCTCACATAAATGTACTCAAGGCTGACTTTATCTGGGTTGTCTTCCTAATAAACTGGCTCTTGCCCAGTTTTGAAGATGCTGACATAGATTTCATATGGTAGGATACCGCCATGAGGCATTTACAGGTTTCCCACAAGGTCAAAATTTTCTAGGAACGCTTGGCTGTTACTTCAAGTAGTTCCCTTAATAAAATTTCAAGGGGCGCCTGGGTGGCTCAGTTGGTTGAGCATCCAACTTCGGCTCAGGTCATGATCTTGCGGCTCGTGGGTTCGAGCCCCACATCGGGCTCTGTGCCGACAGCTTGGAACCTGGAGCCTGCTTCGGATTCTGTGCCTCCCTCTCTGCCCCTCCCCTGCTCATGCTCTGTCTCTCTCAACAGTGAATAAAGATTTAAAAAAAAATTTTTTTTGAAATTTCGAGCGTGGATTCCAGGACCAGAGAAGAACAGATGGACCCGGAACCCAGGGCTTGATTAACAAATACACACCTGTCAGCTCTACAGAAACATTACAGTTCTATAAATATAATTCATACCGTTCTCTCATTGATATTGTTAGTCATGTTAACACTTATCTTATTATTACAGTTTCTCCTATAGTTGATAAGTGTTAGGAATCTTTTGAAACATTAGTTTCCATTATTACACTTGATAGTATAGTACCCTTGTAGTGTGGGTGCATATAATCAATATATATGTGCTTGCATCAGTTCAAATCCCAGTGCGGCCACTTACAGCTGTATAATTTGGGGCAAGTGACCTGACCTCTCTAAGGTTGTTCCCTCCTCTGTAAAATGGGGCCAACAATAGTATTCATGTTCAAGATCATTGTGAGGATTAAAATACAGTAATGCGTGTAATGCCATTAGCTTTACCCACAGTAAATCTTCAATAGGTGTTGGTTACTATTGCTATTTTAATACTAATGTTGCATACGTACACCTAGTTTTTGATTGAGTTCTAATTCAAAAGAAAAGTCATGTTTTAAATTCTCCCTTTCTTCTAGGAGTGACTCAATCATAAGTAGCAGTAATAAATGTCAGTAAAAATTGCTTTTTCCTGAGAACACAGTTTGCTGGGAATTTATTTCTCTTTATTAACTTTTTCAGAAAGTTCAGTTATTTCATATCCTTTTAGCTTTTCATGAAGGTTTTGAACATCCATTTGCACCTGCTTCCTGATTGAGCATTTTCATAATCCTATGAGTAAGAATCAGAAGATAGGTCTGTGGCTTATTTCTGGCAATTAATGAAGCCCACACTTTACTTTTGTACCACTCTACTTTTCCTTCAAAGAATACGGGAGAGAGATGGAAATAAAATTCATTGGCTTGTCTTCAGAATCTTAAAACTCCAACGCATTATTTACTTTTATGGAATTGATCATATCTTGGAGGCCAAGATCATTATACAAATGATGTGTTTATTTTACTTTGACTTCCGTATGTCACAGTCCTGAGTGTTTTCTGTCCCATAAATAGTCGGATGAAAATACAGCAGTCCAAAGTTTGACCTTGTGATCCCCAGTGTTCACTGTAGTGTTTGTACCATGAAGAACTGTGTGTTACTTCTATAGCAGGTGATTTTAAAAAAAGACTTTATAATTGCCACAGTATTTTTTCCTTTAGTTTACGCTGTCTTTTCTTCAACTATATATTATTTTATTATCCAGTAAATTTTTCTCTCGTGTTTTAGGATCTTGCCCAGTGTGTTACATGCCAAGAAAAACACATCACTGTAAAGAAGGAACCCCACGAGTCCCTTGGGATGACGGTAGCTGGAGGCAGAGGAAGTAAGAGTGGCGAACTGCCCATCTTTGTGACCAGTGTGCCACCTCATGGCTGCCTTGCACGTGATGGCCGAATCAAGAGAGGTGAGAGAGGGTCTGAACAGTTACATTACATCTTCTCCCTGAATTCAACGCGTGTTTTAAAAAATAACACATGTCTACGATATTTTCCATTAAACATGACTTCTCTGAATCCTTTAAAATGTCCCTTCCATATAAAGCCTCTCTTATTATAAGGTTAGAAAATGCCTAATGTGAAGGAAAATTGCTGGAGTTTGATGATGTTTCCATTATTTTCCAACAGTTACTCGGTTGGATTATTTTATGTTGGAAAAGACCCTCTGAAAGATTTAACACTTCTCACATGATGGCAGATTGGATCCTCTGAAGGACTGTCTCACTAAAATAACAAATATTGCTTACGTAGTAAAGTACCCATGTGGGAGGGGTCTCACAGAAGAGGTGAAGTGGAAGACATTCTTAATAAAAAGGCATAGTTTTAGGGATTAATTCATTTATAATTTCACACTCCGTACCCCACCTTCCATCAGTACCATATAATTTATAGAGGTAGGGATGGTGGTGGTAAAAATAGCATTCTTCATACACTTGGTTTTTTCATTTGGGAAAGTGAGTCTTAATAGCTATTTTTCCAAGAATGAAGTTGGATCCCTACCTCACACCATACATGAAAATTAACTTATAGTGGATCCAAAACCTAAAAGTAAGAACTAAGACTTTTTAGAAGAAAACACAAGCATGAATCTTCATGACCTTGGATTAAGTAGTGGATTAGTCGGTGGTTGTCTCAGATAGGACACCAAAACACAAGCAACATAATAAAAATAGATAAACTGGGGGGCGCCCGGTGGCTCAATCGGTTAAACATCCAGCTTTGGCTCAGGTCATGACCTCGTGGTTCGTGAATTCAAGCCCCGTGTCAGGCTCTGTGCTGACAGTTCAGAGCCTGGAGCCTGCTTTGGATTCTGTGTCTCCCTCTCTCTCTGGCCCTCCCCCACTCACAGTCTATCTCTCTGTCTCTCAAAAATAAATAAACATAAAAAAAATTTTTTTTAAATCCCCCCCCCAAAAAATAGATAACTGGATTTCATCAAAATTACAATTTTTTATGCTGCCAAGGACGCCGCCAAGAAAGCAAAAAGATAGTGAAGGTGAAATGCACAGGATGGAAGAATATATTTGCAAATCATGTATGTGACCACAGACTCCTATCTGGAGGACATAAAGAACTCTTACAATTCAATAATAAAAAAGACAACCCCGTTTTTAAATGAGCAAAGGATCTGAATAGACATTTCTCCAAAGAAGGTACACAAACAGCCAAAAATCCCATGAAAGGATACTCCATGTCAGTTGATGTTAGGAAAATGCACATCAAAACCACTCCCTACCCAGTAGGATGAATAGAATAAAAAAGACAGTAACAAATATTGGCCAAGATGTGGAGAAATTGAAACTCTCAGACGTTGCCAGTGGGAATGTTTTGGAAAACAGTTTAGCAGCTCCTCAAAGTTAAAAACAGGGGTACCTCCTGACCCAGCAGTTCCATTCCTGGAGAGATGAAAACATACGTCCCCCACGGAAATTTGTACATAAAGGTTCGTAGCAGGATTTTTCATAATGGTCAAAAAGTAGAAACACCCAAGTGAACACCAGCTGATGGATGGATCAACAGAATGTGGTACGTCCATGCAATGGATGTTATTTTGTCCATAAAAAGGAATGTAGTATTGACACAAGCTACTGTATGGATGAACCTTGAAAACGTTATGCTAAGTGAAAGAAGCCAGTCACAAAAGACCACGTGTGGTTGCATTTATAGGAAATTTCCAGAACAGGCAAATCTATAGAGACACAAAATAGATTAGTGGTTGCTCAGAACTGGAGAGGGAAATGATTGCTCATGAATACAGGGTTCTCAGGGGAGGGGTCCAAAAATAATGTGTGCTGGTTACACAACAATGTGATTATGCTAAGAATCCTAAAATTGCATACTTGAAAATGAGTGACATGAGTGGTATGTGAATTACACGTTAATAAGGCTGCTATTGTTTTTTAAAAAATGTTATTTGCCCAATTGTGGAATTTGAGGTAATTTTATTTCCTTCTGGTTATTTCAGGTTTTCTAAGTTTTCTACAGTAAGAATGTTTGCTTTAATAATCTGAAAAATAAATGGTGAATTGGGAGAGGAGGATTCTCCATAGGCTTTCTTGGTACCTACAAAACTAATCTTTTCCTTCCTAACCTTCTTATGTAATCCTCATTACCCTTTTTTTCTTATATTATGGCAAGGCAACAGACACTTTTTTTTTTTATTCCTCAAGCAAGAGAAGATGTTCAAATCACAAGTTTCCTTTCTTTGTGTAGGCCCAAGGATATCTTCTCTTTATGTATTCTGATATGTGCACACTAAACAAACTTTGTAGGGCTATCTTTATGTATAAAACAGTGTAACTGTAAAATAGAATGTATTAAAAATTCATTTCTAAGAGCAAAGGATCAAATAATTTTCTAATAGAAAAGAACTATAGAAGTCACTAAAGCTCAAAGAAGAGAAATAAATGTGCCCAGGGCCTGTACCTAGCAAAACTAAGTCTAATGATTTGGACTTCCAGTTGAATCACAGTGCCTCGAGCCATACCTTTTCCTACGTATTATGGCACTATCTTAAAGTTTTGAGTTGTTCTGGAATGTTCTCCATGAATTGGATTTTTCCTCAGGATCATAAAAATTACAGAGAAGTAAGAAAATGGTCTTTTACCTCATGTGAGTTATTGGAACCAACCTTTGTTGATTAATTTACAAATAACAGGATGTACAGGGAGATAGTCACTCACTGGCTTGTCTCATTTTTCTTGTGTCTTCATCTGAACAGGTGATATATTGCTGAATATCAATGGCATTGATCTGACCAATCTAAGTCACAGTGAGGCTGTGGCCATGCTGAAAGCCAGTGCCGCGTCCTCTGCTGTTGTCCTGAAAGCGCTTGAGGTCCAGGTTGTTGAGGAGGCAACCCAGACCACGGAAGAGCAGCTGAGCACCTTCAGCGAGAATGAGTATGATGCCAATTGGTCCCCGTCATGGGTCATGTGGCTTGGGCTTCCAAGGTACTGACCGCTTTTGACCCTTACGGAGTAATCATACTTAGAGCCACTGTCAGTGTGTAACACCATAAATTCACTAATCCAGGGAACGAAAAGGTTTTAGTCTGATTTGCAATAGCAAATCAAGTTACAACAGAAAATGGTAATTTTTCTCAGGTTATTATATTCTAAAAGGTAAATTTAATAATAAGAACTAGGCTAAAAAGACTTAATGTACCTATTTATAAAAATAATAGGGGCATCTGGGTGGCTCAGTTGGTTATGAGTCTGACTCTTGGTTTCGGCTCAGGTCATGATCTCACGGTTCGTGAGTTTGAGCCATGCCTTGGGCTCTGTGCTGACAACTCAGAGCCTGGAGCCTGCTTGGGATTCTGTGTATTCCCTCTCTCTCTGCCCCTCCCCCTTGTCCTCTGTCTCTTTCTTTCTCAAAAATAAACAAACATAAATACATACATATATACATACATTCATTCATACATATAAAAATGAATAGGGGCACCTGGGTGGCTCAGTTGGCTGAGTGTCTGACTCTTGATGTCAGCCCAGGTCATGATCTCGTGCTTCATGGGATCAAGCCCCATGTCAGGCTGTGCACGGACAGCATGGAGCCTGCTTGGGATTCTCTCTCTCCCTCTCTCTGCCCCTCCCCTGCTTATGCACATGCTCTCCCTCTTTCTCTTTCTTTCTCTCAAAGTAAATAAACATTTTTTAAAAAAATGAATAAAGCCATCTGACCATTCCTATTAAGGTTCGTAAGTGGACCAGCCATGAGATTTGGATGTTCAGCCTCTTGCTTTAGAAAAGCGGTCATTTCCCACCATGCGTTCTGATACATGCTTAGACTTCACATGCATTTTTCACCAGAAAAACCAGGTCAAAGTGTGGGGCCTTTCCCTATTCCAGAAGCTTTTCTGAAATCCCTTTCTTAATCCTTTTAGCTCCCTAAAAAGGCAAGGTGTAGAACTCCGTTTTTGCTGGACGTGAGAGTCTTTAAGCCACACTGTTGGGGTTCGAGAGTAGGCGTGCCTCGCCACCTCAGTGAAGAGTTCACTGCTTCCTGATTGTCGCCATCAGGGCATGCTGCAGGGGGTCCGTGTCTGGTCACGAAAGCATTTGCAGCCCCCTGATGATGCTCGTTTAATGATGATGATACTGAGATAGGGAGAATGTGTATTACTGTTTTTGTTTCCAGATCGCTTTAGAGTCGTAATATATAGAAGAATCCTAAAACTGAACTGTGATGACATATTTGGACTCTGAGCCAAGTATGAAAATGACTGCTTTTTTACAATAAAAATAAACAATAAGAACGCCAGTTTCTGAGCCATCTAGCACCATGTGGATTTAATTTTGTTTTTTGTTTTTGTTTTTTTTTAATTTTTTTTTTCAACGTTTATTTATTTTTGGGACAGAGAGAGACAGAGCATGAACGGGGGAGGGGCAGAGAGAGAGGGAGACACAGAATCGGAAACAGGCTCCAGGCTCTGAGCCATCAGCCCAGAGCCCGACGCGGGGCTCGAACTCCCGGACCACGAGATCGTGACCTGGCTGAAGTCGGACGCTTAACCGACTGCGCCACCCAGGCGCCCCTGGATTTAATTTTTAATAACTAGCATTTGTATAGTGCTGTGTGATTTATTTAAAAAAAAGTACTTTCACATAACACCACAAAGCACAAGGATGGTTGGAATTCATCGGTAATCTAACTTCCCGACTTGTCCTCTTGGTTGAAAAAGACTAAAAAGGCCTACAATCAATAGAATTCACGTCTCAGGGGCCTGTAGGGGTCAGTTGGAATGGTTGCTGAAGACACGCTGTCTAAATTGTGAGGTTTCAGCCATCAGAGGGGAAGCTCGTTTATCTTGCTAAATACTCAGCCCTGTCACTCTGGACCTAGCAAGTCAGGAAGGCCCCTTCACGCACCAGTGGGTGAGCAGGTGTCTTCTCCTGCTGTGCGGTGGCCGAGCTGGTCCACACCACTGCGGGTGGACAGGCGGAGACCCGCACTGCGCCGGAGAGCCACTCGCACTGCCCTGGTCCTCCTCTCCGTTTTCCTTACCTGCTTCCCCGGCCTAGTTCTGGGGTCCGCGCTTCCCCCGTTGCGTTCCGAGCATCTTCCGGGGTACCACGAAGAGTAATGAAAATTTCAGGTGAAAAATACGCAACACGATAAAGTCTGTTTTTGGGTCCACCTGTATCAAAAGAGTTATCTGTCAGGAGGAGGTCACTATTCTGCAGAGTCTTGGGGGGGGGGGGATCTCTGTTGTGCGCAAACCTGTACTCGCAAGCACGTGGCAGAAGGGCCACTACTCTGGGTGCGGGCGGCCCCTTTAAGCAGCTCTGCTTCTGACAAGGGAGGCTCCCCCACCGCAATGTGCTAGGAGTGCCCCGGACATCTGCACACCGGACAGAACAACGATTTGTTTTGTGTTGCTGTCATCATTTTTTTGCAGGAGATTCGGAATAACGAAAGTAACCTACGTTCCCCTTAGGTTACCAGGCCAATGCATGGGGACCCTGCTGTATCTTCGAAGTCTTTTTAAAAGCCCTTTCTTATTGGTGAGCTAAGAAACTAGACCAGATTAAAAGTTCTGGCATTTCATAGATCACATGCAGAATTGGCTTTATTAAGAACTGTTTTTAATAGATTACAAACAGGAAGCCTTGCCTTAGAGGACTTTATATTCAATTTTATCTAAAAAGGAAAGATACTTTTTTTTTGTTTAATTTTTTTTTAACGTTCATTTATTTCTGAGAGGGAGCGAGAGACAGAGTGTGAGCGGGGGAGGGACAGAGAGAGAGAGGGAGACACAGAATCCGAAGCAGGCCCCAGGTTCTGAGCCCGATGCGGGACTCAAACTCAAACCGGGAGATCGTGACCTGAGCTGAAGTCGGACGCTTTACCGACTGAGCTGCCCAGGCGCCCCAAGATACTTGTTTCTTAAAGAGAGATTTTTTTTCTGTGTCACTTAGGTGGAGTTTTTTTCTACTTTTACATTTTTATTCACTGCTTGTTCCCAGATCCATAGAACTCTGAAGTGCCCTATCCTCCAGACAGACGGTCTGGAGCATCTCAGGGTCCCTGGTTTAAAAAAAAAAAAAAAAAAAAAAAAAAAAAAAAAAAAGGTGGGGGGTGGCGGGAGATGTTTTTTGTTGTTTTTTTTCCCTATTTTGAGTTCCCTATTTTTTCAGAGCCTCCCTTAAAATGCATTTTAAGTGAAGGAGGAAAGAACAACAAATAACTCTTCACAGAGATTAAAAAGAATGTTTTCTGTCTTTTTGGGGAACTCACACAATGCTCACTTCTTTCGTTTGAGTGCCGAGATCAGGGGTACCAGACCGCTTCTGTACCACTTTTTTCTAGACACAGATTGTGTGGATACAAATGGATGTCAGCACCGAGGACGTTGTTGACAGTGCAGTGAGCAAATATAGGCACAGAACCATTTTATACAAATGTCTACGGTGCCACTCGTAACCAGGTGTGTTTGTGCGTGCATGCCTGCGTGCTTGTGTGTGTGGGCAGGTCTGGTATCTTCACCCGGGAAAAGAAGAGCGAAAAAAGTGGGAGAAACTCCAGTCCACCTAGGACTCGCTAGAGAACGGGTTGTCGGCATAACGTATCGGGAAGGAAATAAAGCAGCCCGTCTTACTTCCCAGGCAGTGACAGCATAACATGCTGTGGAGTTAGTTACAGCAGAGGAGAGCAGGGTATAAAAGCCTCCACGTTAATTTTTTCCTGATCTTTCTGTTTATTACAGCGCCCTTCACAGCTGCCATGACATAGTTTTACGAAGAAGCTACTTGGGAAGCTGGGGCTTTAGTATCGTTGGTGGATATGAAGAGAACCACACCAACCAGCCTTTCTTCATTAAAACCATTGTCTTGGGAACTCCTGCTTATTATGATGGAAGATTAAAGTGAGTCTTCATTATGTCTGATCATGTGATTCAGCTTTACTGTGATGGGCGCCATCGTGACCAGGGGTCAACTCCCAACCCAGCCCGTGGGCTGTTGTAAATAAAGTTTTAGCGGGACGTGGCTGCGTTCGCGGGTTCGCGCGTCCTCCGTGGTTGCCCCTGAGCCACAGCGGCGGCGATGAGTCACTGGGACAGAGACCGTGTGGTTCACAAAGACTAAAATATTTGTTTACTAACTGGCCCTTTACGGCAGCCGTTGGCCAGACCAGATCTAGACTGAAGCATCACTTTACCGTCTTGCCTCCGATAGCTCTGTGATGCGAATCTAATGACAGGAGCCAAACCTGAGTCATCTGATGAGACACACTGTGGTAGGACAGCTAGCAATGAACAGTCATTCCACACATTCCCCCTTAGGTCCAGTCCTGTCATTAGATGACTCTGCTCTGTTTTTCTCCACAGCACTTATGTCCACCTAACATTATATTTATGCAAGCTCCGTGACGGGGGGGTGGGAGGGACTTGGTTGCCTCTATTGTTATATTCCTGGCCGCGACAACAGTGCCTTGTATATACAGTAGGGTCTCGGTAAATATTTGATGAATGAACGTATGATAGCTTACCGTGTGCCAGGCACAGTGCTGAGTGCTTGCGATCGTGTTATGGAACCTTCCTTCTTAACAGCCCTGGGAGGTCAGTGTTGTTGTTGCTATTTCCGTTTGATAAACGAGGTAACTTAAGTGCTGGAAGGAGAAAGAAACTTGCCCACAGTCAAGCAGCTAGAAACGGTCGACTGCGGTTCGCACCCAGGACTGTGTCTCCAGGGCCTTGGCTGGGAACCCTCTGGAAGTCCTCAGCCGACCTCGTGCAGCCTCTTTCCTTTTTCAAAGCTCAGGTGCAGGGAGAAGAAGGAGGGGTCACGTCAAGAGATCCTACGGACTGAGAGGAGACGGGTAACGAAGCTCTTAGTGCTTAGTTTTTGAGGGGAGGGCCGGTTCTTAAAAAGTAAGTGTTGACGTACCAGACAGGGTGCCACACACATGGAGAGCGTATACCGCTCACAGAAAGTGCCATTCACGTGATCTGGCGAAAAGTTGTCAGGGTCAGGATGCTCTTGATCAGGCTTGTGTCGACAGAGATGGGGGAACATCCGTATTTTAGGCGGAAGCAGTAGGGGCAACGTGAATTAACCATCCTCTTCGCTAGGTTACCCCACCAGCCTGGGTCTCAGAAGTTTACTTTCCACCTGCTACTGAGGTAGCTCACAATAAGCTGGCCTGTTGGTGCTACAGACTAAAGAGGAAAAATCATAAAGGATACAGAGGCCTTCAGATTTGTCGTCCATTTGTGATGATCCTGTCAGAGCACAGTAAGCGTCCGCAGCTGACGGCAGCCGAAAGAAAAGGAGGTGTCCGTCTTATTCTCGACGCGATTCAACCCTGGGACGTAGGCACTCTAAGAATGAGGAAAGAGGACGGTTAAAATAATAAGCAATCCCCTCGGGTGCATTAGTTAGTATTTCTTAACAGGGCAGCACGTTTATTCTCCGAATTACATTTGGCTTAAGCTTAGGCGAAAATTACTCTGCTCGTCCTCAAAGCCACTCGGCGGCTACAGGAGCGGTGGGCGTACAAGTGCCCTTGATTGGCAGGGGCAGGCCAATCTAGGCTGAAAAACGGCCCCGGGTGTTTTGCAAGGTAGATCATATGCGCTCACCGTTGACAGCGAATGGTTACGCGAAGCTGTGAATTTCACGCTTAAGAAATCTCAGGCTAACGTTGTCTGATCCCATGAAAATAGTTAACGGTCCGTTTCTGTTTCTCTTTGCCCAGATGTGGAGATATGATCGTGGCGGTCAACGGCCTGTCGACTGTGGGCATGAGCCATTCTGCGCTAGTTCCCATGTTGAAGGAGCAGAGGAACAAAGTCACTCTGACAGTTATCTGCTGGCCTGGCAGCCTGGTGTAGGTTCCGAAATCGGTTCCGAGTCAGGCCCCTTCCTTGTTTGGGCTTTGTTCACTAGCCCTTGTAACAAGTTCCTGTGCTTAGAATTCAGACCCTCCGTCGTCAGAATGTGACCTAACATGACCGATGAAGTCTTCCCAAACTGTGACTGGGCCAGCTGCATCGGAGGACCGGTGGTAGTTCCTTGGGTCCACGCGCCCCAAGACTGGGATCAGGGAAGCCAGTGGCAGTAGCATTTGCTGGGCTGTAGCCACGGTGCCACAAACGGATCCCTGGAGATGGTACCCCTCCCCCATTTTTTTCCCTTCGGTGCCAACATTTCAGAACTTCCTACCGTTTATAAAGTGATTTTTCTGACGTATTTTACTTCTACTTTAATCTCTTAGTACTCATAGATGACGAAGACAGAAGTCTGACGCTACTGAAGAGCTTTCTACAAGATAATGTACCAATAATTAGAATGCTAGATAATAAAAGATCACGTTTTCCAGGGACACAGGAGGTTGGGAGGTTAATTACAGTTCCGTGCTGGAGACAGTAAAACCAGCACTTACTTAAAGAAGTCCAAAGGCATTCAAGATTCATCTCCAAAGGAATGTTTTGTTATGCAGGAAAATTTTGGAGCGTTTTTTGCTGAAATTCATTTTCTAGCGTTTGTATTGTACTTGTCAGCAGTCTTGACTGGACATGCTTTCTGTGATTGATGCAGTTAAAGTAGATAAAGATAAAACCGTATTGCTATTCAATACGCATTCATATATATCACAACTCAGTGTAGAAGGTACCCTAGCTTTATTTCATTCTGAGACGAGCCTTGAGTGTTTTAGAAACCCTTATTTTTTCCCTCCATTGTTTCTCGTGAACTTAACCATTTCAAGAAAAAGCCTGAAAAGTCCTGGATTTTTATCGAAAATAGTAGGTCTTAGATGCTTATTATCTTTCAGTGAGTCCTTGATCACTAGGCTATCTCTTGTTTTTCCTAAATGTTTCTGAAAACTACGACCAGCCCGTTTTGTTCGTCCTTCACTCCACGTGGTTGTCCTTTGGAAGAACCCATAAAGAAGCGAGTAAGATAAGAAATATCTTTACCTTGCTAATATTATGCATACTTGAAAAAAGTTTCACTTAGGAACCTAGTTCAGAATCTGAGCTCATTTACAAGTGACCTCTGTAATAAATGGTATTGTTTATCAGAGAATGTATTTCGAAAATACTACAGTATATTATGAGCATGACCACTTGATTTTCAAGCTAGCAGTTGCATTGCTAGGGCTTTATTGTGGCTGTAGCATGTCCCTGGTTATTCCTGGTAGCTTTTTAGTGATTTTTTTTAAACCGATCTCTTTTGGATAAATAAGAAATGGCAACAATAATTGCTACCGATTCGTTCAGCCCCTTAGCTACACTGTGTATGGTCACCATATAACCAAGATACAGTGGAATGCCCCATACAGTATATTACTGTTATGTGATGATTGGCTTTTGAAGCAATTTGGTATTGACGTGCTTTGATATTCTAATCGACATGGAACAGGTCTGTCTGTTGGGTTTTTTTTCCCTGCTCCCCAGATAGAATTTTATATCCTACTTGGCTATTTTTTTAAACATTTTGTAAGAATGCATCATTTCTTGGGGAGCGACCATCCATCAACAAATACCCTAGTGGCTACTTTGTTACACATACAATACTTACCTTGAACCTGGGGGTATGATGAATATTTTGGAAGAAGGCACTTTTTTTCAACGTTATTTTTATCACGGAAAATCTCGGCCTCGGCTGAAGCCAGTTTGGTTTGATTACAAAACGCGACGGCTTTTGGTCAGAATGATATTTGGCGCTGGAAACTTGTTCGTAATTTATCGTTACTGTTGAGATATTTGAACTTTCTCATTTTAAGCATAAACAGTTCAAATATTTTGATTTGTTCTGTGCCTTCGGTTTAAATTCGTTCAGGATTTCTCAAACGTGTTTAATGGTGTGATAATCATCCAGGATGGAAATAAAAGTCATCCTTTCCATGACAGTGACATTGTCTCTTTTCTGGAGCAGCAGATAGTGACTCCGTACGCCATCCTTTTATGTGTTCACGGCACCCCTGTTGCCGTCACCGCGCCCCGAGCTTCGAACCTCAGAGTTACAAGTCCACCTTCTGATTCTTACTCCTGTAGGCACAACACGTTGATCCCTGTTGATCGTTGGACATTTTGCCCACACGGTAGCTCCAGATCTGTGTTGCCCAATACGTGTGGCTACTGAATCCCTGAACAGCGACTGGGCCATGTATCAAAATGATGATACCTTGGATATACAGGCTGATAGAAAATATAGTATTTTTTTTAACTTTTATTTTTGGTGGGTTTCCTGCCCATCTTTTTCTATGCATTTTTTCCGGTCTTATTGAGAAAGAACATACATCTCTGTGTACGTTGAAGGCATACGGCATGATGGTTTGGGTTTACATACACTGTGAGGGGGTCACCGCAAGAGGTTCAGCTAACCTCCGTCTTCTCTCACCGACACCGTAAAAAGAAAAGACAGAAATTTCCCCTCAGGATGACAACTCTCAGGATCTACTTTCTTGACCGTTTTCTTGTATATCACACAGCAGCGTTAGCTGTAGTTGTCGTGGTGCACATAACATCCCTGGGACTTTTTTAAAATGTTTGTTTATTTTTGAGAGAGAGACAGGGAGAGGGAGACACAGAATCTGAAGCAGACTCTGAGCTGTCAGCACAGAGCCCGGCGTGGGGCTCGAGTTCGCGAGCCTCGAGATCATGACCTGAGCCTAAGTGACACACGTCACCGCTAAACCCACTGAGCCACCCAAGCACCCCTTAGGACTTCTTTATCTCGTAACTGGAAGTTTGTACCTTTCGACTGCCTTCCTCCAAGTCCCCCTCCCCTTACCCTAAAATATCTTACTAAAATTGATTTCACCAGTTTATTTTTGCTTTTTTGAAATTTATTTGGAGAGAGAGCATGAGCATGTGCAAACACAAGCAGGGGAGGGGCAGAGAGAGGGGGGGAGAGAATCCCGAGCCGACTCCACACCGTCAGCACAGAGTCCCCACACGGGGCTCGATCCCAGGAACCCTGAGATCATGATCTGAGCTGAGATCCAGAGTTGGACGCTCACCCGACTGATCCACCCAGGCGCCCCTTTTTACTTTGCTTTAACGTGGTTATCAGAAAATTGGAGATTACTACGTGGCTGTGCCTGTCGCCTCTATCACAGCACTTCCCGGACCAGGCGGGCCTGACCTGCTTCCTGGCCTTCCGAGGGCTTTGCTCATTACCTGCATTAAAGAAGAAAAAAATGTAATCAAAGAAAACTCCCGATTTCCCGGTAAATTAAGTTCAGATCAAGGGCCGTGCGGTCTGACTCCTAATCGGGTTTTCTGGATGGCTCTGTGGTCCCATTTACCCTCTGTGACTCCGGCGGGCTCCCCACGCCCCCAGGTCCTGCTTCCGAGGGCTCCCTATTGCAGCCCTGTGATGCGATCCCTTCTGTGCGTGGCCGCGGCGTCCCATGTCGGGTGTCCCATATCGGGAGGCGTCGCTTGGATGCTGCTATCTCTAGCTTTCTCTGGCTCCTCCTCCCCGCTTTCAAGAGAATTACCCTCCTCGTGAGGGTGCCTCTCAGCAGGCCTCCGTGTTTGCTTCTGTTGTGGCTCTGACCTAACCACCCTCACAGTTGCGAGAGCCACCTTGCAGTTCTGAGTGCGCCCACACCCTGGGTCTGCAGCCCGCGCTGTCTGGGGACTGAGGGCCCCTAACGTCACTTCTGCAACACGGACATCCGTTTTCTCGTGCGCTTCCCTACCCCCCTGCTCTCTCCGGTCTGAACTCTTACCGGTAGCTGTTCTAGACCCTAATTTTGGTCACTGCCCTGGTTAGGGATCTGCAGGGAAAGGTCACAGCAGCTTGGCGCGGCAGGAAAGCCCCTTCCCGCCCCGCCCCCTGCCCGCCGCTCACCTCGCTTCCCCCACTCCTTGCCTCCTTTGTACACCATCACCACCACGCCCGTGCCTCCGCAGGCTGACCTGGCTCTCGTGGCATCACCTCCTTGTGGGAAATCCTTACCAACCTCCAGGGCAGACACTTTTTACTCCTCTGAAAGGTTTTGTTAAATTATACTTTCGTGGCCACGGATATGTACGAGGAAGAAGAAAAACTTGCCAGGTAGGTGCTCGATTACCCCTGCCTGTAGCAACCTTTAAAATTAGACACTAGAAATCAGAGATTCTATACCTTCCAGAGAGCCCAGGGTTCTCTAGACGGAGCGTGTAGGCCTCGTGTCCTTTCTCTGTCCCAGGATCCCTTCCAGGACGCCACACGACATCTAGTTATGCCTCCTGGGGCTCCCCCCGGCTGTGCCGTTTTCTCAGACTTTCCTTGCTTCTGAGGATCTGGACGGTGTCGCGCACCCGCCAGGGACACTGTAAGACGCCCCCCGTTGGAACGTGCCTGCTTCGCTTTCTCGTGATTAGACAGGGGCTGTGCGTCTGCGGGAGGAAGATGGCCAAGGTCAAGGGCCATTCTCTCATGGCCTAGCGACGCTGCATACTGTCAGCGTGACTTGTGGCTGTTGGTGTTGACCTTGCCCACCTGGCCTAAGAGCAGTGTTCGTCAGGTTCTTCTCCAGGAAAGTTGCTTGCCCTCTGTCTATACCGCAGTCGTTGGACAGAAGTCACTGTGCACGGCCCACATTTAAGGTGTGGGGAATTCCATCCTCCAATTATTTTTGAGCTGGTCGGGGAAATGAGGGGTCTCTGGTGCTGCTTAGGGAGGCCATCTGGGGTGGGAAGAAGGGAATGTCGAAGATCGAGAAGGGTTGTTCCCTCAGGATACCGCACGATATGAGCAGACTTTCAAACAGCGGGGGGGGCCGCGTGCTCCAAACGAGCCGGCGCATTTCCTCGCGGAAAGACAACGCGGTGTGCAAATTCTGTTCGCTCTTGCTTCCGAACCGGGTTTCCGGTCCCTTGTACAGGAAAGCGGG